TACCATAGTTTGCATGATTGAGTTTTCACGATTTTTTTTCAATATTATTCATACTTTTTTTTACTTACAGGTTCGACGGACAGTTCGTGATGGCCTGGCTCCTGGAGCAAGGCACAGCGCCGGAGGTGATCCCTAACGGGTCTATGATCATGAGTGTAAGACACCCTAGTCTGAACATTCGGGTCATAGACTCGTTAAATTTTCTACCGATGGCGTTGGCCAAGCTGCCGGGATGCTTCGGTCTCACCGAGTTGAAGAAAGGATACTTCCCGCATCTTTTCAACTCCCGAGAAAACCAGAGTTATGTCGGACCGCTGCCTGAGGCCCGGTATTACAGCCCGGATACCATGAGCACTTCAGCCCGAAAGGCATTTCTATCCTGGCACGAAGAACACAAGGGGGATGTGTTTAACTTTCCAAGCAGAGATGCTGTCCTATTGGCAGAGTTGCAGGTATATTTTTCCCCTTCTTTATTCTTATTTAAGATTTTGTTTTATTCTTATATTTTATATTTCGTATTTTTAACATTTTTTCTTTTAATAGATCGGACGTGGACATTCTTCGCCGTTGCTGCCTGGAGTTTCGAGCCCAGTTTTTGGATGTGGCGAATGTGGATCCATTCCAGTAAGTCATTTTCTCATTTCTTATATAATATAATAATCATATTTACAGTTCATTAAATCGTTCTTATTTTTGTCTTTTCAGATACGTGACCATTGCGTCAGCCTGTATGGCAACGTATCGGAGTGGCCACATTCAGCCCGACACGATTGCCATGGTGCCCACACACGGATATGTGAACTCCACGAATTACAGCTCTGATTCGATCCGGTGGTTGGGCTTTGTTGCTGCTTCGGAAGGCACTGCCATTCAACATGCGTTGAACGGTTCCGGAGAGCACAGAGTCGCCGGAATCTCGGTAGACGGTTTCTGCCAAGAAACACAAACCGTCTATCAGTTTCAGGTAAGAAAATATAACCATTCTTTTTCTATGTGATTCTTTTTAATGATTTTACACTTTTAATGTTTAATTTACATGTGGAACACTATTAATATATTGTATTATTTTAGGGCTGTTTCTTTCCATGGGTGTAGTTCGTGCTTATGAAGGGGATGTCATTCATCCGCTAAAAGGGGTTTCCATGGCAACCTTGAGAGAAAAGACAGAGGACACCACACGAAAACTTCGAGCCCAGGGTTTCCACGTCATCGAAACGAGGGAGCATGAGTTTCAACGAGAGAAGGAGGAAAATCCAGATCTCCAAGCTTTCCTGGATCAACACCATCTGAGGGATCGACTCAATCCTCGCGAGTCGTTTTTTGGAGGAAGGACCAATGCCCTCAAATTGTTCCACGAGGGAGACGCAAAATATGTGGATTTTACTTCACTCTATCCATGGGTTCGTACTTTTTATTATTTCAAAAATGTTTACTTAAACTTTTCTAAATTTTCTGTATATTTTTATGATGTGTTTTTTCTGACTTTTTTTGTTTTCATTCACAGGTGAACAAGTATTGCGTCTACCCTGTGGGACATCCAACAATCATCACGGAAAGCTTTGGAGATGTGGAAGATTATTTTGGAATTATCCAATGCCGAGTGATTCCTCCACGGAATCTGTATCTTCCGGTACTGCCCTATCGGTGCCGGAAGAAGCTGATGTTCCCCCTGTGTCGGACTTGCGCCCTTCTTCAACTGCAGACTCCGTGTACCCACACAGACGACGAGCGAGCTCTTGTCGGAACGTGGGTAACGGAGGAAGTCAAACTGGCGAAAAAGAAAGGCTACCGCATCACACATGTAAGTACTCAAAGATTATTTTAATCTTTATTTAGTTTCAGAGGTTACTTTTAAAAATTTTTTATAACTGACATTTATTTTTTTTTCTAGATTTACGAAGTGTACCATTTCCAGGCATCGTCTACTTCTCTGTTTCGTTCCTACATTGATCTGTTTCTGAAGATCAAGCAGGAAAGTAGCGGATGGCCTTCGGAATGTGTGACGGAAGAAGCCAGACTGAAGTACATTCGCCAGTATGAAGAAAGAGAGGGCGACAAGTCGCCAAGTTGGCCCTGAACAGTTTCTGGGGCAGGTAAGATGATTTCTTTTGTACTTAATTTTTTATAAATATTTTTAATTCGTTGTGATTTATGATAGCTTTTTTTCCCCTCAGATGGTGAAGATGATTCCTTCACCATGTTTTATTTTTTTTTCAGTAAGTCCGAAAAAAAAAACTGCGTACCATGGCGGCCAACTGGGAAAAAACTTGTTGCAAAGTCAGAGGATTTTCGTTGAACTTTCGCAATTCCCAGTTACTGAACTTTGACACCATCAAAAGTCTGGTATGTAGTCTGAACCAAAAGGATGTCATCTCTCTCCACAACCCCTCCAAAATCACCCGTGAACCAAAAAGAAGAAAGGTCATCAATAAACCAGAAACAAGACTATACAAAATTGTGCTCGACAAACGAGTGATACAGAAAGACTTGAGCACTTTACCATTTGGATTTTAAAAGAAAGACTATGAACTATATTATAATAGGCTTGTACAAAAAAATGTTTGCATGTAAAATATACATTATGATACATCCAGTATCTGTAAATGAACGTAAAATAAAAAAAAAAGTTTGAATGATAAAATAATGGTGTTTTTTCTTTTTTCCTTTGGAAAAGATGCCATGAAAGTTTTTTAAATATTTTTTTAGAAAATAATGGTTATGATTATGTATATATTAGTTTAATCAGAAAAAAATTATTTTATATATTAACTTCATCAAAGAAAACATAACACAAATAATCAGAAATTAACTTTATTATGAACATTTCATTACAATTTCAGCCATAGTTTCGGAAGAGCGATTTTCTTTTAGGTCTAGCATACATAGTTTTTACATTCATTAAATGTTTGTTTTTCACAAAGTCTTGAGGAAAGTTGTTCAACATTCAGTACATTTTTAAACTGTTCAAAGGCAAGTAGGTCTTTTGAGTTCTATTTCTCAACAGAAAGTTTATCAACTGAACAATGTTGGACCCAGAAAAAAACACATGATCATCCAGAATGAGTTCTTTATTCTGTGTCCAGGAAATCTGATGTCTTTTAGGAAAATCTATTATTTTCTGTGCCGTTCTTTTCTGTTTCACAGGAACAGTCTTGCAAAAATTTCCTTTTTCTATATCTTTCTCAGAAACGTTGTTCAGGCGGTTGTTTTTCGGAAGTGTTCACATGAGGAAACGTAACATACTTTTGCAGAACCTGGATGTACAATTTGGATTTTTTCTTCATCGTCCATTTTCTTTTTTAAGATGTTTTGAATTTGGGTATCTAAATCACACTCAAATGTTCATCTTCAAATTGCTGCATACGATACAGGGGTACCAGAGCGAATTTCTTACTGTGTTCCATGGAGAAGAGAGGATAAGACATTGACTGCTGCAGGAATCAGGAAAGATAGAAAACCGTCACCTTTTTGAACCAAAAGACGTCTTTTCTTAAAAAGAGGTACTTTTTTGTCCGCTAGTTTTCTTAAAGTTCTTTTAAAAGGGGCGAGTCGATTTTTGACCCGTTTGGTGATGGGTACGTTTCCTTTTAGAAGATTTAAAACACACTCACAAACTGATTTAATGAGATGATTCGGACACTTTTTCAGTACAGCTGCTTTTATTCGACTTTTTCCTAATAGTTTTAGATAATCCACATCCTTCAGATGAGACATGCTGATGACAAATGAGCTCTTTTCTTGCACACTTTCTTTTATATAGGTAGCAAATGCAGCCGCTTTGGTTAAAGCACAGCAATTAAATCCTTTTGCATGAATCGAACATGTTAAAGAACTTTTCTTTTTTAAATTCTCTATCTTAGGACAGTCTAGATTTATGATGTCTCTACATAATAAATTTTCTAAAAATAATTTCTTTTCTAATCCTTTCACGTATATGACAGAATAAATAGATGACAAATATTGCAAAATAATACGAAGATGAGTATAAGGTAAAACACCCTCACTCCCAATTCACATGTGATGACGATTTCTTGTGACCCAAGCAAAACACTTTTGCAGAGATCGTGATAATGTTTTCCAAGGCTGAGAGAGTAAAAATGACCAGCAACTGTGATATCCTTCATGCACGGAGTAAAAAGCTAATTCTTTAACAATGTAATAATGAGGCATCCACTGAAAACCTTCGAAATCGATCACGATGGGAGAAGACATGTTAGCCATTCGACGTCTCAAACTGAAATGAACTATCGGGGCTGGTAGACATAGTATTTATCCCCAGGAAAGATGCCTGTACGAAGGCGAAGCGTTTCACTTGTTTCAGGTCGTAAATCAATCAACAAGTAGCTAAATGGAGTTGAAGTAGCATCCTGAAAAATTTCTTGAAAGGCCTTTACTTTTCCGGGGAACATTTGTCTAGCTAAATGCATGATTTGACTTTTATCTCTAGGATTTTTGTATAGGACAAGGTAATGGGAATTTAAATGAATATTTCTCATCTCCTTACCTTGGTGAAAAAGATTTTGTGTTATAAAACGACGACTGAAAGGTTTCGGTGATGACTTCCTTTTGTAAAAAGTTTGCTTAAGCGAGTATCACTTGCTAATTCAGACATTAAATCGTCTATGATAATAAAGCATTTTGAAGAGTCTGCAGGTTAGATGGTAATCCTTCTTCAAAATTTACGTTTTTCATGGAATTAAAAAGAGGTTGATAACTTCCGTAGCAATAAATAATATTGGTCGGCATGGGATGGAACATTTTATGATCTATCAATTTCTTCACAAAAACCGTTTTTCCCGAACCGGTAGGTCCGCTCAGAAGACAAGTAGAAGGATGTACGAACTTGGGCAGTTCCATTTTTGGAAATGACAGCATGTTAAGAAAACACTGACTTTTATACTTTACCGAAAATCCTTTTGCATAAGACATTTATTCATTTTGTTTAAATAAGTGTAGAAACAAGAAACACAAGAGACATTTTTACAAATTAAAACTTTATTTTTTAAAAATCATGTTTACACCATATCTTTTTTTGACAAATTGAAATATTTGGAAATCATGATTCTTCCCATCTAAGGGTGATACAATGAGTTCCATACAGAGACCTTGACAGCGTTTAATAATAAAATAAATACAATAATGTCCACATACATTAGAAGTTAAACTTTGAAGCGAAATCTTGTTCCAGCAAACATGACGATATTTCTTGACAAAGGATGTGATATCTTTTCCATATGCTTCAGGCGGGAGTCCATAAGAGTAAAAAACAATTCCAAAGTCTGTTTGTCTGCAATGTAGACAGCTAGCCAATGAGTTCCTTTTTCATCATGTTTATCAGTATTGAGCACCAGTGCACAGGGAAAACTTTGAATCGCAGGTATTTTATCACAAGGAAAAACACCCGCATAATATCTCAAAGAAATAGGATCTCGAGATAAGATTTGATGAATCTGTGATGAATTCATCAGTTTCCAAAATCGTACAGAATATTTCGAGCTTTATTGATTTCTATCAAATTTTCAAATTCAGCGTACACTAATAACGAAACAGTTTGTTGTAAGGGAGTCCCAAATTTTATTTCTAATCTTAAGTTGCTGTGTCGAACTAGATTTAAATGAGAGCCATCACAAAGGTCAGGTGACAGGTCGAAGCGAAATAAGGAATATCCTTTTGAAAATTCTGATCTTGAAAGGTAAAGTCCTCTGTCGTCTGCATGCATCATAAATAAATTCTGATAAGCTCGTATGAAATGATTTTTGTCAAAATTAGGCTGAAGAGGATTATGAGGTACCGGTTGGTTGCCGTCCACATAAACGCCGATAAAGTTCATATTATAATGCTTGAATTCAAAAGGAGACTTTTTATAGTTTCCGTTAAAGGCATCATTATCGACACATGCCACCACAATACGATTAGGCATTTGACCTATGAAAATATTGTCTTGAATAAAACTCATATTTCCCGTTGGAATGGAATAGGCTTTGCAGAGCACTCTATTAATGGGATATTTGGCTGTTGATTTTTCTAGGCTTTTGGCATGTCCTAGCACAACACCTGGACTTGACTCTCACTTTGCGTTACAAACAATGAAGCTTGTTCGAGTAGTAAAACTTTAAATTCACCTTCGCCCAATAAACAAAAAATTCAGGTTTGCTGCGTATGAGTTTAATTTTCATATCCACCATATTCAGCAAAAGTCTTTCCTGATGAAACATATCCAAGTGCAATCGGCCAATCATATCGACCGAAGCACTCAGTTTAAACAATTCTGCTCGTTGGTTGAATCCTTCATTCGGCTGAGTGTCTTGAATATCAAAAACGTTCATACGTCCTGCTGTATCTTTGAAAAACAATTCTGATGACAGTTGAGACGTTTTCGTATCAAAACCATGATTCAATAATTTTTCTATCATGGCTCTGTAAGGATACGTGTTATTACTGGTGGAAACGAGTCTTTCATTTAAGCTAATATCCACTTGAGAAAACATAGAATGTAAAAAGAGATTGACAGGTCCCACTTTACTTTCAGCCGTGATTGGCTTGCCATCATTTTTTAAAATTTTCACTTTGACGTAGAGTTGTGTCTGTGATAAGTCTAGGTAGTCGTCTCCGCTTCCAGAAACATTGAACTCGACAGGACTTCCTTCCGATACATTGGCTAATGGATGAAATTCAACCCACTGACCTTTTTCGATAACTGTTTGTGTGGGAGGTAACGAAAATAAATCCAATTCGGATTTTGCGCATTCCGGAGAATCTTTTAACAGAAAAGCCATTACGAGTCAAAAATATCACGTCGTTGCACCTTCCTGGCTTTAGACGAAATGAAGTGTTTGGGGGTTTTGCGCTTCCTTTTAAACCTTCCGTGACCAATCATCTCATCTGCTTTGTGAACTGCTTTCCTCGCTAATATTTTACCAGCTTCCTTAGATCTGGTTTTGAGGGACACTTTAAAATTTTCTCCCGACAATACGTCGTTTGCAATTTGTGTTCAC